AAATTAATTAAACAATAATTTTGCTATCAATTAATCATTTGGGACATTTGCATTCAGAATGCATTTCACTTTCCATTTATCTCTATGTGGGTCAAGAGAAGATGTATGTATTATTATCCTTGTTCATAGAATTGCACAGCAACTGTAGAGACAGTGACAAGGGTTAATGGCAGTATAATATTTGATAAAATGCTGTCTAATTAACAGCTTTGTGGATTGCTGTTGTTAGTCTGCTAATTGTGTTTTAGGACCCATTCCTGCAGCACTCTATCCCTCCAATATTTTAAAAAATTCTTAACCACAAATGTCAACCATCCAGTCCGTCCAATAGCTGTTGAGATGTTTTTGTCTGGCCCAAAGTGTTGGACTGACCGGCCTACAGACAGATCAATAGTGCCATCCATTCTAGCATGGCTAAAAATGCCAAACATTGACAGATTCTTAAAAGGAAGAATTTGCTGCTTTTTTTTTGCTTTTTTATACTTTTCACTAGTAGTTGGACAAAACAAGCAATTTGAAGACATTACCTCAACAGATTAATCAATAATGAAAAAACACTTTTGTTACAATGCTGAGAGTGTTGTTCAGATTGATTGTTCACACCCAGTAGGAGCCTCCACTGTCAGGGAACAGGCTCAGAGAGCAGAACTGGGTCAGCCGCCTCTCCACGCTCCTCATTCACCCACCACACAGCGACTGATGTAGTCTGTGCACATGTGTCTGAGACAGAAAGGGATTCTGTGCGTGTACATCTGTGCTGGCATGTATGTCTCCTCGCCCACGCTTCCTCAAACCATCATCAGATCAAAGTGAAACTAATAATTAGGCAAAGTGCAAAGTGGTTGATCTGCAAGCCTTGCTGAATAAACTCCACTGAAAATGTGCACCATTTCCTACTGTAGCATTTCTAAAACTATGGCTTTAGACACGCAATAAGTCACAGAAATGTCTCAAGGGGGTTTCAACACATAATGTAACCTAGTATGTTTTAATAAGCCTGAGCAGTTTTTGGTCCTGAACAAAAAAAGCTCCTGACAGACTCTCATATATCATTTTTCTACTAATTCAGTTTCTCTGCTCATTCATTAGAACTGTGACAGGAGTGGCAATTTTACTAGCCAGCCGCTGTGGTTCGTTTTAGGCATTTAAGGCATGTGCACTGGGTCACACAAGGATGAATATCAATGGGGACCCGTGTGGAAGGTGGAGAAATGAGACCTATGGCCTAATAAAAGCTCAAACAAACAATTCACGAGCCCATAAAATCACTCTCCCATTTATTGACCTCAACCAATCCAGATGTGTGTGTTGATGATGTCACAGATTACACCTTTTTTTTTTTACTTTGGAGAGCAAACATTTTGGAGGTGTTTAAGATCATAGAAATAACACAAGATATGATAAGTTGTTGGGATAAGTATGAACAAACAGGGGTGAATATAAACCAGAAAAAAGTATACTGGGAAGTTGTTTTATGTGGACATGTCTATCAACATGTCTCTGTCTGTATGCAAATAAATCAATTTGGTTGTTCTGAGCAAGTTCAATAACAGGATCACAGAGATGAAGACCAAATTGTTCATTCATTGAGTCAACTGTGCTTTGCTTTGCCCCCCACCTGTTTTGACACGACAATGCTAAGATACAGTTTGAGCTGCCTTTTTCTATGCCTTATTACTTAAAAGAAGTTTTCCAGACATCATACAAAACATTATTCAAAATATTTTTGTGTCCATTTTTGAAAAGCTATATTTTATCTATGGTGTTTCCATCTGCTGCATCATGCTGAAATGTCTTGTGTGCTGGATGCCAAGAGTGATCTTGTATGATGCTGAGTCACACGGACCAGTGAATGTTTCCAACAATGGCTGGTTATACACTCATCCAGACAACACCACATGACAATAGGATCATGACAAACCAAATTCCTTGTGTTGAGTGTCGGGCGAGTTAGTCTGCGGTAATCAGGAAAAGTCTTGAACAGAGGGGGTGAAGATGGAGAACTTGCTGACTCTGAGCTTGAGTGGAAGTTGGACCATAAGAAATCTGAAAAGATTTTGTGGTCAGAGAAAACATAATGCATCTCATTTGAACAGGTTTTCAGGCTGTCAGCAGGTTAATCATCTCATTGGAACTGGTATTGTAGAAACTAATAGCTGTTATTGAGTTTCCTGGACCTCTCGATTACCTGGATGGTCTGTACATACCTTTAAAAAAGGTTAGGGATGTTCACATGCAAAAACACAGAACTCACCAATGTCTGCAACATGGATGGGTGAGTCATTTTAAATTCCAATTCAGATCCCAAAATGTTCAATGATACCAAATGTAACATATGTATTTATGGATCTTTTGGGGAAATGTGTATAAAATGACATTTCAAGAATATTTCCGATTGATGAAAAGGCGCAGCCGCAAAAAAACACTGAGTAAACATTTTATACTGGTACTGTCAGACACTGTGAGACATATTATTCCATGTCAGACATAGAATAATATGATTTTAGTAGCCTTAAAATCGACTTAAGGGAAAACAAAAGGTTTATACCAGATGTTAACAGGTTAAAGAAGACACTACGCTATGCACTTTAACATTACAAGGAGTGAAATTCCCACATCTAATTGAAAAAGCTTTGGTTCCTTCTTAACTACTGTAAGAGCTCAAATAACAAGCCGGATAACACAAACACCAGCGTATGATAGAGGATACAGGGATATAAATGAGACCAAAGCGGCTGACTGGCTGAGAAATTCTGTGACTCAGTGAATGAATGCACGCCTGACCAAGTGACTACGTGACCTAGCATTTTCCTTTAAGCCTCATCTACAGTACAGTATGCAATTTAAGTCTCTTTAAGAAATAAAAGGAGCCAAAAGAACATTGTAGGCTTGTGTCTGCCCACAAGAAATGGAGAGAGAGAGAGAGAGAGAGAAAGAGCTTGTGCTTGTCCAACATTGCACTGAGGTGTCAAAAACTGAGCAACTTTGCCAAACAAAGAGACGCTGAGCTTGAGCCAAATAGCCTGCAGGAACTTTAAGGTATGTCCACAATCAGTACAAATAAATCAGAAGACACATGGCAGCGAAAGGGCAGGCAGACTGAGGCTACCGGGCTCAGGGTAGAGATGGTAGTGGACCAAGGTTACTGTGAGGAAAATAATCCTGTTAAGTTATGTGCAGAGGGGATGACTGGCTGAACACTCACATCTACACTATTTAGCTTTTCTCCCAAATATAGACTGTAGTCCACACTGCATTAACAGTACAGACACCTTGATCAACAGCAGTGCTTGTGTAAACACAGCTTCAAGTTTTACTGCAGCTAAAGCATTTAAGTTTCATACAGTTTATACTGTATGGAGTCATGTGTTTGAAAAGCCTGATAATAACTCCACTGTATATATAATATGTAATATCACAGAGTTTCACAACAAAATGGCCCTTTAGGGATATGGGTTGGATCTGCAGGAGATAGTAATATCATTTCTATTGTGTCTCAGCCAAAACAAGTATGTCTTTATAATATATAGTATGGATTATATCTAATTGTATCAGGTCAATAAGGGCACTACAGACTGTGCAGGGGCGCATGGGGCTATGATAGAGGCACTATCAGTGATTGTTCCAGCATGGACACATGGCTACAAATGTTCCGTGTCTGCTCTTACCCAGAAGCTCTTTGGGGACCTCTGACACTTCCTCGCTCATTTTGTTGAAGGTTATATCCAAAGCGACGAGAAGAGTTCAGTCAACGCATCAAGAAGCCTCAAATTATGAGGAAAACAATGAGCGAGAGAGAGGTGTCAGGTGGTGCCGCCGCCGCCGCTGCCGGTGCGTTTCTCCCGGTTACATGCTCCTCTCCTCCTCTCGCGGTGTCCGGACAATGTATCCGCGGAGATCTGCGCGCATCTCTTTTCGGGTTTAAACAGCGCGGGGTCCAGAAGGGTTGCGTGCTGGAGAAAGAGTAAGAAAAAGCCCGCTATAGTATTCTTAAAATCATGTTGAACGCCAGCAGATTCTGCGCTTCGTGGAGATGAAAAGACCACCGCTCGCGCACATCCTCTCCGGCCGTGGCCCTACCGTAAAGCTGTTGGTAATACAGTGGCAGCCAATAGTGGGAACCGGGGCCCCTCCCCGCTCGGTGATGCGACAGCCAGGCAGCCGATGCGATGCCGGGGCGCTGTGGCGTGGCAGGAGGGGGCGTTGGTGGTAGTGTCAGACCGATATTAATGAGCAGGGCTGCATTAGCGGTTCTCAAACTGGGGACCAGGGACCTCTAGCGGTCCTGAGGGATTCCCATCGGTCCCAATCCCGTACTCGTATTGCAGCACAGGAGCAGGCCAGGCTGTCCTCCCGGTGGATTATACAGATATAACAGGCCTTACTATAACCAGCCTATAAGAAGGTCTCTGTGAAATCACGCCTATAGCCTATACTCTAAATCCCTGTGGGAACATTATGGGAATGTTACAGACAGAACTGGTGTCCCTGCAAAGAGGGATACTATTTTTATATTAAAAATATAATAATAGAAAACTAATACCAGAAAGTGTACCTTTAGAAATATTGGGAATAATTATGCATTGTAACAATGGGAGATTAGAAATAAACGCACATCACAGATTTATTTTTTTTTTTTGAATAAGTGTTGTCATTACATAAAGTATGACACTGTATGATGTGGCCTGTAGCCTACAGCGAACAAAATACAAATTTTCTAACTTTAAGCAAATTCTTTCGGGTCACTTTAGCATTGTACTTGGACCATGATCTGGTGTAATGGTCCATACTGAGTAAGCCAATGACAGAATTGTTATTTTGCAGAAAGAATGAATAAATAGATTTCAATAACTCACTCTCTGATAGGGTTTGTAAACATGTCAGTATTATTCTCCAATGACCAGAGTTAAAAGAGGAAGATGGCGACACCTTGTGGTGATTTGGTTAAATTACACCGTGCAGGCTGACAGTGGTTCTCTTGATTGAGATGGTTACAGCCATTTTAGATTTCAATATGTACTTTATTTAGCTGCCGCACATAACATAACAAAAGTTTCCAGTTCGATATCACAGTTTTTACAGAACATCATACATTTCAATGATAACATTTAGTTTAGCTCCCTTTTGTATGACACATGTATGTATATGACACTTGAGTCATCCAACAATATTGGCATTTTTTACATTTACTTGAAGGTTCTTCCAAATTTGTAGGCTGCTTTTAGTCATTTTTCCTCTTTATCAATCTGAAGCACAGTTATAGTCTGACTCCAATTAAAGATACACAAACAACACTGATGCCAGTACAGGATTTTTCAACATCTTGTTCATCACAGCCTTTTTTATCTTTTAGATTCATCAGTACATTTTGCAGTAGCGAAAATACTATTACTACTACTCATAATAATAACATTTCTATGAAACAGGTACAGGCACTCAATTAACATGCAAATATATGTGTTAAAATTGTATATGTGTCAAACAATATGTTAAAATACTTGTTTTCAAATGGGTAAATAAGAGAAAGAGGTATATGTAATTATATACTGTATCTACCAATCTGTCAGTGTACATCACTGTTCAACTGCTGTACAGTTCTGCTGCTTGATCTCATCGACTCTCCTCTCCAGTTTTTCTGCCATGGAGCTGAGCTGTGCGGCCCTCAGCATCGCTGGCAGTTTTTCCACCTGCACTTCTGGACTCTCTGCCAGCCATGCTCTGATTTGATCCAGGAGAGGACCTCTCTGTCTGGGGAGAACCGTGCCCCTGGTGCGCCTCCCCCCCCCTGACTTATGAATGTACCTGTTGGAGGGAGAGGATGCTTTTATTCCTGTCTACTGTATTAGGTGAATGAATAGATGAAGAGAGGAGTACAGGGTTGGTTGTCACATTTATTCGATCTCACTCCCTTGAGGGCGCTGTTAAAAAATGTGGGTACTGAAAATTTCAGAATTGGGGTCAGACGGACTTTTAGTGTTTCATATCAAAATGTAAATATCCAGCTCTTCTGTGTTTTTCTTCTAGGCTTTTACACAATTGGAAATTTTAATTAAATTAAACTTTTCTAATTCATTTTAAGATTGCCTCCATTTTTAATTGTTCTCCATTAAAATATCAATGGGACCAACCTTATAGCTGTGACTAGCATCCCCACCTTGGGAATGTTTTTAATCAACATATTTGACAGTCTGTATCTTCTGACCAGAATAAGCTTAAAGAGAGTAAGGTCAGTCCATTCCTAACTGACATTTTAGGATTACATTACACACTGAAATCTATTAAGGATACAGTTTTTGAAGGATTCAAAGTAAAGTAAGTAAAAGGTGTGACGATCAACTCTGTTATCCCCTAGTTGAAAAGAGGCACAAAGAAGATGTAGGGGGAGAGCCAAAGCAATTTAGACAGCATATAAACTCACCTGGCCACAAATTTCTTCATTTTCGACACGCGCATCCTGTGATCACTGAAGAATGCTGAGAGGAATGTCCTGGAAGTCTCACCTGAGAAAGGAAGTTGTAGGTAGCTGAAATCTAAACTTGGTCCCACAATCCTAAAATTCATGTCATAGATGTATTGGGCAGTTCAAATCAACTGTACACACCTCCATTGGCAAGATCCGTGCAGGTGCCACACACTGTGTCGCGGTAAACTGAACCGGGGAGGAGCACAATCTGTCCGTTTGCGCATTCCTGATGGTTTACGCACGAATCAAGCGCAGATGATGAGCTGGAGAAGAAACCCTCGGCACAACTTTCACAAACAGTGTTCGTTTCTGATGTACCTATAGAAAACAACAATGCAGATGGGGTCATTACAATGTTTTTACATACAGCGGTGGCTTCGGAGAGCAAAGGTGTTTTTTTTTTCCCCATGCACTTGTTGGATTTCCACATTAACTCTAAATACAGTTGTGTCAAAGATGCTACTTTTGTAAAATATTGAGCGACTGATGCTTAGTTGATTGTATTTCTGTGTTTCTAAAGATGAAAGATAAATACCTCTGGTTAGAACACCGTGTCCGGGCCCGCACTGTGTGTGTTCAACGCAGAAGTCATCGATATAGTAGAACCCCTCTTTGCACCGACAGACCCTGTTGTTGACCGCTGAGCACTCCTTCTCTACCTCCTTGTTGTTAAAGCAGAAGTTGCTGCAGTACAGACACCTGGGCAGGTAGTTCCAGAACTCGGTGTACTGCTCGCCTTTGCACGGCGCGCACTGGGTGGGCGTGGTGGCCGTGCAGTGCGCGGTTAGATGAGAGCCGGGTGGACACTTGTCACAGATGAGGGTGTGCCCTGTGAGCGGGTCTTCGCGCTCGTAGGTCGGAACAGGGTCCACCGCCGAAGCACCGCAGAGGACACCGGAGAGCAGGAACAGAGCCGGTAAGGAGAGCTGAGGAGAGGACCGTGATTACTGTTCTCTGTGTTTTAACTATGACTGCTACTACTGTTACTACTATTACCTTTACTACAGCTTGTTGGATGGGCTAGTGAATGTGATAACCCAAAGAACAAGGAAGGATACAATACTAATATCATAACAAAATAATAATGATACTAATTATAAAATCAGGGATATCACAGTGATATTAGAATGATACAGAGGAGAACAGTGATGATACCATGACCCCAGTATTGAGGTCTAAGCTTCTTTTTTGGGTGAATCACAGCTGTGTGGTGCAAATAAGGAATAAGTGAATTGGAAAAGTGTCTGTTATTTCATATTTAATTAGAAATTGTTTAGATCTTGACCATTGTAAGTGATTATTATTACCTGCAGCACACAGCACTTGTCCTACAATTGATATGCCACTGTTTATAGCTTTTTACAACATACAATATACATGCAGATTGATAAGTGCACTTCAGCTGTATTTTAGGGCTGTATCACAGACTAATAATGACTTGTTTTGTTTGACTTAACCTGAAATTTACCTCCCATAATAACTGTTCAGTGTCCAATCTTGATCTACTGAAAAGATTAACTTATTCTCTACAAATCGACAGTGCTGGCATCAGATTTAAGACAACAAGAAAGTCCAAGATCAGAGTGATAAAGTTTTAGTCAATTTTTGTATTAATTAAATCAAGCAATTTCCAATAAAATAAAAACCAACAAAAATGTAGGGTATTTATCCTATATCAATTTACTGTTTGATTGCTTGACAATTTACATAAAACGTTAAAAACACACAACATATTATTTGTATCTACTATTCTCTGTCATAGAATATTGTCATGCTTCATACTCACCATGCTCATGATGTTTAATTTCGTCACTTCTGTCAGAGAGGGTTTGACAGAAGGATTGGGTTGATTTTTATACTGTTCATAGGGAACTACAATTGCGTAGGCGTGTGGTTTGTGGTACCATTTGAAAGGTCAACCAGCTTTTGCATGTAGGGTTAAATAACTTAATAAGCAATTTTTGGCTTTGACCCAATCAGTGACATTGAATTATACTGGCTGTTTATGGTCCTCTCCTCTCTGTAAGAATAAACTTATATTTTGACTCCACAAAACCAGCTTCTCCTTTACTAAAATGTATTCACAGTTTTACACCCTGGTGGCCTAGACATCTAATATGCAGACTATATAATTCCAAAACATCCTGATATTTTCTGTCACACTTTACTTAGTACTATTAAATAAACAGAGAAAAACGCCCCCTCAAAATATTTGAGACCTCAAATCCAGACAAAAAGTCTGTGACAATTTTGTTTACATTTCCCTTCTTTTGGTAAGACCAATCATTAAGTCAAACACGATTTAAAATAAATGGTTGAATTTTAGGATAATAGATGAGAAAAGACATTTCCATAAATACTATTTCATGATTTTTGACTTATGTGAGGTGATGTAAATGGAATTGTAAATGCAGCTCTGTAATGTCATTAAATCACAGTATTTCCCCATGCCCTTTTATTAATAAAAAGCTTGTACAACTTAACAAAAAGTTTATTTGTACAGAAATTCATCTACATTAAATTTGTATTTATGTAAAGAAAACAACAATGCTAACTTAATATATCAGAGCTCATTACTCAGAAGTTTTGAAACTGTCAAAATTATTAAGTTTCATTTCGGGAAATAGCTTGAAGAAGACCTCATTCTAAAATTTCCACGGAACCTCCCATAGCTATAATTTGCACAAGTGTGCAGGTCACAATTGTGTTACAATGGATGATTAAAACCACAAATATGGTTGTGAAACGGCATAAAATACAGGTCAATGTGCCAATAAGTCCGCTTTTTTCCTTTGAAAGATGTGTTAGTGAATCACTGAGTCACTGAATGACATGCTCAGAATAATGTCACAATGTGCTGGTTATGCAAATAGAATGAATTGTTTTATCGTAATGAGTCAAACATGTATCGACAGGTCTTTCATTTCCTCTTCCGTTTCTACAGAAGACATGGGTGGGTTGTGTTCTAGTGCTGAACACGCAGAGGCTAGAGGAAACTTCACCCAGTGTACATTTTAATTGTAATTTACATAACACCTAAGGGCAGTTCAGGCTGGTTTTGGTTAGGTTGTAAAAAAAAAAAAAGTATATATAAAAATGAATAAACACAAAAAAAATAAAAAAACGTATAAAAACTTTTCAGAAGAACATAAAAAAATCCACCAGTCAGCAAAAAAAATAAATAAAAAAACATGTAAAAACAACAACAATTTTTAAATCAAAGAAATCATTATTCTAATTGTCCACATAAATCACATAAATATTGACAATACAGAGCAGGGGTCTTATTTGTACACTTAATTGTAAGTGTAACGAGAAAAAAAAGTAGGATTAAGATTGAGATTACAGAACAACCTCTGTGGGCACGTCATAGGCTACTTGCAGGCTAGCAGAGGTCCACAGGCACCTCTGGTAGATAAACCTTCATGAAGCCCAAATGACCTGCCCATGGGATGGTATGGCCCACATTCATCACATCACCCCTTGACACTTCAGGGAAAACAAGTTGTTTACCTACAGGAGACCATTTTCTACCACAAAATAAAAGTATTTTTTGCTGGAGCAAAAGGTTGTAAGGAAAAGAAAAATCATGCTGAACTAGCCTTAACTTGTTGCTCGAGCTGTTCAGCTGACAGAAGAAGCAACTCCCCAACTTGCTCTCTGTGCCTACTAACTAACTACTGACTACTTCCTCTCTTATAAGGTGTGGTTGACTGTGTACTTCTGTGTAGACCTCAACCGCTGGTACATCTGAGGAATGACCATGTACACAAACAACTTGCACTGTCTCACCCAAATTTCACATCTCTGTGGGAATGTATTTGGCCTGTGCAAGAGCCTGAGTGCAATCGGTGTCTGACAGTACAGATATAGATGTGCCCTTTTCTTACATCTGCTCCCTTTGACATCATTTTCTTCTTTTAAAAATAATGCAGTAACCCTGAACTGTCAGCCACCACTATTAACAGTAGCGATCTACAGACCGCTAAAACACTGTCTTTCCACTTTTTGGGCTGAGTTAATATGATATAATATACATGTCAATAATAAGATAATAGGACTTATAGGATTTATTAGAATGTGTGAATTTTATACAGCATGTTTAAGAGCCCTCACATAATCTAGGTCACACACTGGAACTGGTAATTTCATATGGGCTCATCATAAAGGTTCTTTCTGTTGTTGACTTGACTCTCTCAGACCACCACTGTGTATTTTATATAATGGCATATCTTTCATTATACTATGCCAATCCCCACAAGGCAAGTGGTTAAAAAACACTGTCTTACTCCTGAAGTGACCTTAAATTTCCTAACACATCTCATCTCCAGAAACCAAATTACATCTACTCCCTCCTCGGTTGACTGTCTCCTTAATGCTTTTAATTAAAAATTGGCTACAGCACTTGACACTGTTGCACCACTTAAAATTAAGAAAATAACTTAACATTTTAAGAGGAACATGCCGTGAAAGAATCATGAAACCACTAAACTGAAGAGAGACTGTCAGATTGCAGAGCGCAAATGGGGCAAAACTAAGTTACAAGAACATAAAGAGATTTTAAAAGAAAAATGTAAAAATGTACAATAAAGCAATTTGGATAGCCAGGCCATTTTACTTTTCTAACCTAATCAATTTTATTGTAAATAACCAAAGAGTACTTTGGACTGCCTCAATAACCCCGCTACAGACCATAGCAATCATTTTAGTCAAAAATTTGAAGAAATTGCATTTTACTTCAAAGAGAAGACAACCAACAACAGGTCTGTGCAGCCCTTCAGATCTTCTGGCACGAGCCTGCTAGTAGTTCCAAAGCGCAGAACAAAAACCTTTGGCAAGAGGGCGCCCTAATAGCTCACATGGTAGAGCTGGCACCCCAAGTACCAAGGCTGAGTCCTTGCTGCAGCGGCCATGGGTTCTTAATTAATTTTATTTAGTTTTAAGTATAACTTTTATAAAATACTATCGTTATACCTGTAAAATCTGTTTACGTTTTTTACAGACTGGTAAGGTGGTCCGAACCAATAGCCATTTGTTTCTGACAAGCTCATGGCTACAAAAGGTGGGAATACAACAGTGGAATTAGACAAACAGGGCTACTCTTTCCACGGCAAGTTGTAGGCATAAGCCAGTCTCAAAGATAAGATAATAAAAGATAATTTTAATTTAATTAACATCTGTATTAAAAAAAACTGTATATAGTGTACATACAACCCCAATCTCTATTTTGTTCTTTAACTTTGTTCCTTCTTTTCTATGCTTGAACTTGTTCAATACATGCAATCAAAAGTCTTCCTTCTTTCCTTTCTTCTGTCTTTTCTTCGCGTCTTTCTTTCTTCTTTCTTACTCTTTCGTCTTCTTTTCTTTCTTTTCGCCTCCGTCTTTTTGGGCGCCGTGCTTCACATTGTCTTCGCTCTGAGATCTTTCTTCTGCTCGACTCTTCTCTTTCTTTCTTTCTTTCATTGTCTACTAACCTTAGTAACAAAGGCTCTCCAGCTGGCACTTTCTGATCCTGTGGAAGTGGTCGACTGGCTCTGGTGTCTTCCATGTCCAACTGGAACTGTGTGAGCTGATGGGACAAGACACTGAACTTCTGTTCCTGTTGTGAAGCCTCTGTCTCCTGTCTTTTGTCTTTTTCCATCTGTAGTAGCTTGAGGTTCTGAAACATTTCAGGCACTGTGACCAGACTGGATTCCACAGACATAGTGGCTGATGGTCATCCTAACCCAACTACCCTTGAGGAGCTAAAACCACTTGCTTTTAAACAGGAAGCTCCTCCTACAGACAAACAAACTAACAAAGTTAGTGCACAGTCAATTAAGACAATCAAATAACTTTTCTATGTTAAAACAACAAGAACCAAAAAATCTCAGTTAGTATAGTAACAGAACGAGATGTATAACACATCGTAACACAGAAACATAGATTGTTTATATATATATATATATATATATATATTATATAATATAATAAATATAGACAATTTCCTTAAACAATGAAAACCCACTTCTGTACTCAAAATGGTTCAGTCCATTGGAAGCATTTACTTACTACCTTTTTTGGCAGTTTCGACCAATGTCCAGGAAGTAGTATGGATAGAAGCTCATGCACATGTGGTTAAAAGAGGTAGCATATAACCAATAAATGAATTTGAATTGAATATATTAATGAATGTATTGAGTCATTATGTTTAGTAACAACATGTGAATGATGGCAGTGTCCATACTGAAATTACCTGAAATGACAGGTTGGCATGTGCTTACTATGCTAACATAACTCAGCCACAGATGCCTTGGGCTACACAACTTTGTAAAACAATTAGGACTACAGATCTACTGTTCCAGCAGCATGGAATAAATAAGAGATCTGTAAAAACTTATTAGATTATATCTCTGGGTGTAATAGATCAATGTTGCAATATTTTTTTCATTCATGTATTCAAGTATCATAATTTGTCAGGATTTTAAATGACTGGGTTATCACTGTCACATTATTTTATCCATGAACAGTTTCTCAATTGATTCAAAACCTTCTTATTATAACTTGTTAGTTGTGACATCATGAGGAGTATGAAATATCCTCTGATCCAGATCAGTGATTTAGTATCCCATCTATAGTAATCAGAGCAAAAAATAAGCTTTTTAAAACTTTTTCAGACAGTGGTGGCTGGTTACATGTGGAAGTGTTTAGTAAAGTGGACAAAGATTTATTAGCTCCTGGCCAGTAACTGGTGGTAGTCAGCCAGGTTCCTATTGGCTGACATTGTTTTAAACACAAAAACAGAGCTGAGCTTTCTAATCACAGCAGAAGTCAACCGTTAATCTTTTGTCTGTCGCTGGATTATTTATGAAGAAACAACACATTTTAACAAACTGATTTTAATCAGATCATTTGACATTAGTGTTCACAAAGTTACACAAGCTTAGAGGACCAGTCAGGCATATATACAATAAAGACCATACATTTCATAATGTAAAAGTGATAAAACAAAATATAAAACAAATATCACTTCATGAACTTGCAGCATTTGGAATCCAGTATTTCTGATAAAGTAATAAAAACAAGCCTTTACATATTCAGAAAGTAAAATTTTTTTTTAAATAGAAAACACATTGCACTCCTTTGTACATTCATAAAGCTGACAATTTAAAAAAAATTAGATGAGCTTTACTTGCCAGCAGTCCAGAAAAAAAACAACAAACAAAGGAAAACTGTAGAAAATACATGTATTTCATTATGAAACCTAATCCTTCCTCTCAATCACCGAGAAAGCAATAATAATAAAAACACAACATCTGCCAGCCTATCTTCCATAAAATAGTGTGCTATTTACATCTTAAATAGTTTTTCATTTTTCACAGACTCTGGTCAAAACGTTCCCAGGAAACATGTTTTATATTTTTTGTTTCCGTTTACCTGGAGTACACAGATGTGTGATTGTTTTATTATTTTTTCTTTTAAGGATTCCTCACTGCAGACAGATACTGTAAACTGGGGAATTTATTAGCATCCCTTGTTAACTCATATAATCAAAATGTCCTTATTTTGGTATAGGGTTTTGATAGAAAAATCCAGGAGGTAAAGAACAATTTACCTTCCTATCTTGCCTTTACGTTACAGTTAGACAAAATACCTCTAGGTACAATGCATAGCTTGACATCATTTAGTGATATCTTAAAGACGTGACATTATCACCTGACCCATGTCTGTTTCACATACATTTATCCCCCTGTTCAATAAGTATGTGTCTTTTTATATGTGCTCCCTATCTCACAATGCATTAGTGTCTGTGTATCCTTTAGATGGCATATATTCCTGTTTCTACCTCCCAATTTCCCTATTCATTTAATGGCTTATAAGCCTTAAAACACTCATCCTGAAGCATACTAACAAACATCTTCTCATACATCTTGTGTGCTGAGGTGGTTCCTATGATGCGGCTGATCTTCTTTAGGCCTTTCAGCAGATAGCGTGGTGCCCCCTGGCTGCGCATCACCTTCAAACTGTGAGACAGACCTTTGGCTAGATCCAGTTCATAGTTTGATGACTTCCAGAGGTGAAGAAGCTGCAGGATGTACTGCCTGGGCAGGCAGGTAGAGACCACGGCTCGGACATCCTCCTGCTGAACTTTAACCCCTGGCAGGCTGTTGGTGATCGTCAGAAGGTCATCTAGAGTCAGGTTTTTTAGGCTGTTGCAGCGGGAGACTTTCCTTTCACAGTGGTTCACACCTAGAGGGACAGGGTGCAAGCTTTAATACTGAAATGCTGCATTAGACCCGGATAAAACACACTAAAAGTGCAGATTTAGTTTGTACCTTGTATAATGCCGTACAGCTTGTCCTGGTCTTTGTTCTGCTCCCTCCACAGTCGTAGCAGCTGGAGGACCTGCTGCTGGGGAGAGCAGGCCTTCTTCAGTCGCTCCACGCTCTTACGATCCACCCTCCGGCCGGGAAGGCTCTCCAACAGCCGCTCCAGGGGCACCGAGGACAGTCGCAGTGAGGACAGTGACTGGTAGACTGCTTCCTCACACAGGGTCACATCTGGAATTAATTGTACAAAAAAAGAGACCAAGTGGGTTTACAAACATTTTTATTAACATCATCATAACATACAGTATGAATATGATAGAATAGAATAGAATAGAATAGAAAACACTTTACAGATTGCCCTATCGTATTATGATTTGGTATTGGAGTTTAGCAGCTTGATAACACTGATACAGATCTTCCTGGAAAAAAACATGACAAAAACCAACTGGTACATAAAGCAAGAAGAAATATCACATTCTTTCTCCTAAAAAAAGAAATGTGCAATAAAACGCAACCTTGATCAAATCAACACATACACGAGTTTTGTTGGTAGTATAACTTAGCCTTACTATGGATTAGCAAATTTAAGATTTAGTGACATAAATGACTATTTTTACTGCGAGTTTCCTAGCATTTGTCACTTGTGGTCACAGTGATTGGCATACAGCAAAAAGTGCAACTACTCTCGACTGAATCTTCTGACTGCTGCCCTTATACGTGAGAACGTGTGGGAAACTTTTGCCATTTAGTTTTGCCAGCTTAATCATAAGCTTAGTGTATAGTTTTATAGCAGAGGTCACATTATGCAATTGGACCAAAGACCAACTTTGTCAAAATGTATTCTTCAGAGAGGTACTCAGGTGATGTTTGGACTACATTGTGATTACATGGTTTGGTCTCCACAGAAACCCATCAGTTTATTATATGTCTGGATTTGTTTATGCTTGTTTGTGTGTGTGACTGTTGGCTTGTAACTTGGCCACAGCAGAAACAAGGATTTCCTCTCTTTATGTTCCCCATTGACAGCACAGAACCACATTGACATCAGTCTGCATGGCCAAACCAAACTGAATCCATCTGCACCAAAGCAAACAGAGCTGCATGTTGAACTGAAGCAGATCGAAGTGAGCTATGCTGAAACATGCTGCGCTTTGCTGCTGAGTTGTACTGCACCAGACATAGACCTACACTATTTCATCATCACATGCCTTACATTTCTTTAAGCCAAGGTCTCCTGGGCCTTCCTTATGAGATTTAAGTATTCTTGTGAGGAGCACAATTTCTTTTTCAAACTCTTTTGAACCCTTACACATATCTGCTTTCGTTATCCAGAACAGTCAAAGCTGATGACGATGTGAAACTGTCAACATGAAATTGCAACTTTCATACAATTATGAAGCATTTCTGTATTCATGAGTGTGTGTGAAAATGTTTGAGTGACTTGCATAACACGAGTAAATAGTAAATAAAAAAACATTTAGTAAAACCAGTATCGGTGTAGTATGGTGGATTTTAATGTGAGGAGGATATTAGGCATGTTTCTCTGATGTCTGGATGATGTAAGTTTGGCTTAGTCTATAATTCACACTGACATCCTAGTGGTTTCTCCAAATCACGTAGCAACTGTGGGAATCCCAACTGCTTTCAATTTCACATTTTTCTGTTAAAAAAACTGCTAAACTGTTCCAGGATCTGCTGCAGACAATCTGTGGTTGTGTAGTCCGCAGGAAGACAATTTGTGAATGAATGCTTGAGGAGAGCATCACCCTCCCCGAGGGACAACAGCTTTGTGTGGTATACAGCATGCACGAGTGTGTGAGGGTCTATACATCTGTATGTGTGTGTTCTTCAGTGACTGCGGTTTCTCAGGCTTTGGGAATTCAGTGTCTATTTGAGGCTTCTCCTCTCAAATTAATTGTCAGCATCTGTCATAGTTTAAGCCTCAGTAACAAAGACTTACCAGCTCGTCTTGTGTCTCATTTGTGCTTGACTCAGTTTCCTCTGTTATTGTAGTTTGAGGATGTGACAGTTGAAGAAGTAATTGATCCATCATGGGTCATTATGACAGTAGTGCCGTAAACATTCCATTCAACCCCTTGCTCTGGCTTTTCTCTCTTGTGTCGGTTTTCATACACGCAAGAATTTGGAAAAGAATGGAATCTGGACGACGAACCTGACCAAGGAAATCCCCTGCCTTCAGGAATGAAAATGACCCCATGTCTGAAATAATTCAGTTCTGACTGATTTTAAGTTGTTGACAATTGAGGTTTGCTCAAAAATATCATCACATGTGTGCGTTTGGCTGTGTATACACTGTACAAACAATCGTTGCCCGGATTCCACCCCACATTGGTCCTAAAACCTCCCATACTATTTCTATTAGTGATTTATTCCTACTGCATTAAGTGTACATGTCTTACCAGTGTGGCACGAAGTGTGATGCTGAGAGCACTCCTGAGTGTCACAGAGGCTGTCTGAAGTTGATGTGCCCCATCTCAGTGTCTTCAAGCCCAAATCTGAGCAGTTTCTGTGGGGCTGACACTGCTCAGTGGAGGAGTCGCTGGTGGAGAAATGACCAGCAGGACAACGTTTACACACGGTGTCACTCACTGGTGTACCTGGAGGAGATAAACAGGATGATATATAAATCTTATAAATGAAACATGATTTTGACATAAAGTTTGTGTCTCACAATAAAGAAAGTGTTTATTTGTTGGGAGGCTTGAATGTGCATTTTTTTAATACATTACCGATATGACAGAATTTATACAGTTTAAAATTATTACATATTTCAAACAGCAGATTTTTCTCAACTTTACTATCAAAAGTTTCATCTTACACGTGTCAGACATTTTCAGTGTGCATACATGACCTACAGTATATACTGTAGCTAATCAAAGAAGATGATGTGATTCCAAGAACTACGACCATGACATGTGACAACCCATCAGAATGACAGATGATTCTGAGAATGACTCACACATCAGTTTCTATATCTTGTTTTCGAATGGGAAATACCACATCACTACATTGATGTAGGAGATGAGCATGAGTACTATTACTATGATGACGTGACTGCAGCAGAAGGTGATTTGTAAGCTGATCTTTCAGACTGACTGACAGGAAAATCTACTTTTCATAAAATAAATCTTTTCAGTAAGTTTAAGGTTGCACACAACTGAAATGCTTCCTGGACCTTTAGCTATAATATCATGTTCAATGACATGTAACATACATACTAACTTATCAAAATATAAATGTAAATGAGTTTTAAAAAACCTAAAAATTAATTTACATAACATATTTTAATGACTACATATTTGAACAGAATGAATGTAATAGTAGTAATGTCTAATAATAATAACAAAATAAATGATTTTACAAACTATAAATTCATCTTTTATTCATTTAAAATATTGCCCTAATAATATAACAATGTCACCAATTTATTTAACTCAGCAACCGATCAGATCACATTTCCTTTTACCCATTTACAGTTACATTTTCCTATTGTTTGACAAGTTCTAACAACATTTGGCAGTTACCATGATATTATAAAAAAAAAAAAACAATCAAACTCTTGTATATGACCTGCAGCACATGATAGTGTCCATGTAGTGGAACTAGTGTTGTAATCACATCCTTATTTTATTTTTATCTCTAAAGTGCAGAATTGAAAGTGTGTAGGAGGATTTATCAGATTTAACCTTTGCTTTGTTTCCTGCTACCACAGCACAGTATGATCTTTCTTGAAAACGTCAGGCCATTCAGCACAAAAACATAAAACCACAGTTATGCATATGTATGTATGTTTCCTGTTCTGCTGATGACACAGCATGTACAGTACGTGTAATATGGTTTCATATGCTGGCAATAATCTTTTTATTCTCAGAATTTCCTCTGTCTATGCAAAATCTGCACGTTAGCACTTTATTATTATAAGTAACAGCTTTACATGTAACTTGAAGCACAGGTGCTAGCTCTACTGTCTTAAGGGATCTATTAATTAATAAAACTGTCTGGAAATACATAGATTAAAAAAAACACATTTAAACCGCTAATCAGTCAATCGACAGAACAACTTTATTATGAATTAATCGTTGTTTTTCAAGCAAAAATGATAAAAAGCTTCTCAGCTTCTTAATTGTAAAAATGCATTGCCTTTTTTTGTCTTATAATATAGTAAATGTATTAATAACTACTAAAGACTACTGTTTATTATGGTAAATAACATAGCCCCTTAGTTCTTAGCCTTCCTTTACCTTGTTTAAGTCTTTCTTTTTTATCTGTTGACTTTTTTTTCCCCTAAATTTCTTATTCTTTATGCTTGCCTGGGCTTCCCTTAAAAACAGGTTTCCAACTTTAGTGGGACTAAATAAAGGTTAAATTAAAAAAAATATCAACTCGAGCTTTAGGAAATTTCGAGGTACAAATAATTAATTAATCAAGGAAATAATTGCCAGACTAATTTATTATGAAAATAATTTTGAATTGAAGCAATAAAACCCTATTTGTACTATTTTATTTATTCATTTGCTGGTTTTCTCTAATATTATATATATATATATGATTATTATATTATAAATTATTATGTATTACATATATTATGTTCCACTGTGTTTTTGATGTTGATGCTGATCCAGTTTCGAAAAACACAGATAACCAGATAAAAAGATTTCAGATCTTGTGTTCAGAGAGAAAGAAAGAAATCACAACTAGAAACAGACACATCAGGAGATCAAGGGGAGAGAAATCGAGTCATAAAAGTCATGAGTTATTGTGAGACTGAATCGGTTTTCTAACATCCTGTGGTTTAAGGGTCTAAACCGCAACTCATGGCATTACATAATGAGTCCTTCAGCTTCAGGAAGGGGAATCCCCTGAAATGCTGTCTCATGACTCCAGACTTCATTAGGCTTTCAAGTCCGATTGTAGATCCATGTTAGAGGAATTTATGGAAAATGTTGTCTCATGTTTGAGTGGTGTCAGTGCTGCAGGGGTCAGATAATAACCAGAATCCATGGAAAATGTTGTTTCATCTATGCGGCGGCTAGATTGTGGTCTCAGGTCTGAGATGAAGTCATGAGAAGTGTAGTGCCAGTTTGTGCTGCGGTTCCAGTAGAAATATCAGATTCTGTTAACTGGAATGTTGAAATTCAGCATCAACCTCTCTTTAGGTTGCCCACAATCACTACTGACGCACTAAGGAGGGAATCTGTAACGAATATTAGGTCAGACATCCACTGTGATAATGACTCCCTCGGTTGCATCTGGCTTAATAATTGACTGAATTTGGTGCTGTATTGTGAGGAAAGGAAAAAAAAAAAAAACCTTAACAAAACATTATCTTGTGATAAGATTTAGAGAGACAAGGATGACATTCTTGTGTGTTAAAATAAAATGTTTCTCATCTCGTATACAGTACATGTGCATGGATTTGATTACTGGAGTGATGGGCTCAATATAAAAGTCAAAGTCCAAGTTAGGACTCAAACAGTAGTCTGAGGGATTTGCAGGTGTATAAAAGCTTAAAACAAAATATATCAATCTGCAAAATGCCATCCATTAGAGGGAGGTAGCCTACAGTATCTTCACACAATGACTAAGTTAGCTCCCAGTGTATCAATAAAGATCTTTACCATAGGCAAGGGAATGGTTATGCCATTTTACTGAGACAAAACAAACTGTTGATCTGTGTCAAGTTTCCTCTTTCAGCTGTAAAATATGCATAGTCATCTATGAAGAGGAACAAGTAAATGCACATAAAATATCATGTTCTCTATTGCCAATTGTGTAACTCATTCCTTTCTTCAACTGACAGATTTGCACTGGTTACATTCATTTGACCTTTGTTTAAAGTTTACTGTTGCATAACATATCAACAGTTTAGTATTATCTCTGTTAGAACCCACAATGTATAATTTATTATAATCAAGTATTGTGGTGAAGGGGAACCGGGAGAGGACACAAAAATGTGAATGGCACTCCCATGACTCTGTAAGGAAGACTTTTTAAAACTAAATACAAACAGCTTCTTTCGCTCAAATAAAACCCCTTCAATTAAACACAACATGATTCAAGCCAAAATTTTCAAATAAACTTAAGTACATACCGAGTTATGAGGAAGTACGGCTTGGAATGCCAGGAAATACGTCAAAGCTGAAAATGATTACCCAAAGATAAAATCCCTGACGTTCATTTGACATAGTACGCACAGATGGAAAAAAATGTAAAGGTTAATCTCCTAAATGATGCTATTATGCCCTCATGGTGCGATGAATACACTGGATACTCATCACATGGTGCTTACAGTGACAGACGGTGTTCCTTCAAATTAACTGATGCTGTTTAACCATTACTGACCTGACACAATTATACATACTAAAAGCTGTATTTGCAAATAATGAAGTTCATGGAAAATATAGAGTGATCATTTTCCACACTATAACTAAGCAAGGATGACTTTTTATTTCCATAAGCAGTATGGTGTTCTACAAAAAACGACAATACTTTTAACTTAGTTTTAAAAACCTGAGTCTTGTGTGTATTATGGTCACACCAGAAACATAATTAGAATTGTCTCTCATTGACATGTGTATTCATATATAATTTCTCTGTTATAAAGACATAGGAATAAGGAGTAAATCGTACACAAATAGATATATAGATCATATAAATAATAAGATAATGGGCCATTATACGTATATATTTCAGTTCTAAGATCTGTGTACCAAACTGTGTCTGTGTGTGAAAGACAAAGGAAGCGAGCGGTTCAAAGAAAGAGTCACTTTCTGCGAATAGAGAAGAAGTATGCATCTGGAACAGATCTCATTCACAGAATCAGAGGAAGAGAGAGAGAGAGAGACTCACTGATGCAATGGAGAGGACATCTTAATGTGAAAATACTGATCTGTAACTGATGTGTGTCTCTGCTTTGGCAGCAAAAGGGTTTCTTCCTGACATGCTGCCAGTTATGCATATCTGGAATTGAACTGATTCGACATAAAGTGAGACAGTGGAATAAAGCATGAGAGGAGAAGATTTAAGGGAAGATGAAATATATAGTGATGGGTTTCTAATCTAAATACTGAAAACACATATGCACGGCACTGTAAAACAATGTGCACATTGAGTGAACTCAGACAGTGCTTCCTCCCAGGCTGTATGCTGACTGAATTCCTAATTTTCTCTGGTTTTACCACAGATACCTTTTTTTTTTAAATTTCGATTCTAAATCAGATTTACGAGCTGACTGGATAGAGAGAAAAGCCACAAAATAACTGATCACCCTGTTTATCTAATATGTTATGTAAAATGAAAGCAGTCTGCCAGTACAATTGCCAAATAATAACAATAATGATAATCTTAATGTTAGTCTCAGTCTTACCTGCAGCTGCCACTCCATGGCCAGGGGGGCAGGTACTGTGTGTGATGCAGAACTCCACCACTAGGTGGAAACCTGGAGCACACTCACACAGCTGGTCATGAGTGCTGTTGCATTGCTGCTTGACGAGCTGCCTTTCCTTACACACCTAAACACAACACACCAAGGTCACACATCTGCTGCAGGTACACAGTCATATACAGTAAAGGCTGATTTATATGGACATATATTAACAGAGAGCATACTTATTTACAGTCATGATTTAGAACACAGGCTGCTATTACACCTCATGGTGGACAATGCATAGAGTGGGACAGTGGTAATATTACATTATTTATCTGGAATGGCAAAACATCTTAAATCCGTGAAAAGATCCCTCACAAGTTTGAGCACGTTCAAACTTTCATTTTTAGTAACAACAACAAAAGTGGAAACACTGGTTTCAGAAAAGGCTGCACTAAAATGTAAACAAACTGTAAAGTCATAGTCATCTAAAGAAAAGGCATAAGGAAAACCATAAATGAGTGGCATAAAGGAGAAGCTGGAGGATAAAACATTAAAGGGAAATTTAGCGGAATTCCTAACAGAACCAAATATTAAAAAAGATGTAAACCTTTTGGCCTTATACATACCGAGGTGCAGTACTGGCATGTATCCCCCCAGTGCCAGTTCTCAGCAAAATGCTTCTCTGGACAGGCCTGGCACTCTGTGGGTGTGTCAGCAGTGCAGTGTCGTTTCACGGCTGTGCCAGGAGTGCACTGGTCACAAACTAGGAGTTCAGATGTCACAGGGTCGCGGTACTGGTACTTTGGAAGTACAGCCGGCTGCTGGAAGGCCCAGGAAAGAGAAGCTGTGAAGAGCTGCAAGAGAAAGAAAAAAAGTTTAGTACTGAGTCAACAGCAGTGACAAAATCTCTAATGAAACCCATCTCGTGCACAGCTCCTCTTTGGCTAAAGGTTCAAATATTTTTATATTTTGGAGCACTTGCCAACCCAAAGCTTCCAGTAAGAAAGAGTTGAAAGAAAGGTCAGAGCTGTAAAGTTGAAGCTCCTGGTGGACACACAGTCCTAAAGTGATTTCCTCTGCTTTATAGAGAACAGTTCAGAGTCAGAGGACAGAATTCAGCAGCAGTTTTGTTGATATGGACTACTGCACGCGGGGCACCCTTTAATAATAATACATTTTATTTAAAAGAGGCGCTTTTTCTGAATACTCAAAGACACTGTTACAATATAATAAAAGAAGAATACAAGACATCAATAGGTAAAAACAATATAAAACAGTACATTACATATGTTAAAAACACATTAGACTCTTAGATTACATATGTTAAAAACACATTAGACTCAGAGCAACAATATCTTTTAATCTTTGCATGTTTGCAAATCGCCCCTTGCCCCTTTGCCCATTGCTGAGTGCATGATTTTATCCTGACTATTAGTCTTGATTAAGGGATCACGTTTATTTTATTACACTTTTGGCATTTTTTCTCTCAACATCTTAAAGGACAATTCCGGCAATGAACCTCTGGGTTAATAACACTTATTTACGAGTTGGTCTGTTCTCTGGGATAATGTTTTTCAATTCTAATCGCACGTGACCATTTTAGCAAAACCGCTAATTACCGTATAACGCTAGTCAACGGGGCATGAATACAGTGAAAGAACAAGCTTATTTCTATACCACTAACAAGGTAAATAGCACCACACTTACACAGTAGATAATGAGGGGTTACTTTAAACCGACGCATTGAGGCTTTGTATGTGTACAGACAGTCTACTTAAAAGATAGTTTTAGAACAACAGTAACTCACGTAAACAGCGGGCGCCATCTTGGGAAAACAGTCGTGACCAGTCCCAACTCTCTGAGATGTGACTTGAACGCACCATCCTTACGTGAACCGGAACTGAACTAGTGCCTTCCACAGGATATAACGAAGGAGATGGCGGAATTATAACCAAATTTGAAGACATTGACAACCGACATTTCAGTTTGATTGGACGTCCTTATCTTTTGGAGTGATATACAGAACGAAGAGCCACCGGAGCTCGTGCAGGCTAAGAGAGGAGAGGAAAGCTAAGCGGTAGTCCAAACCTCCCAACTCCCAGAAAAAAAATCAACCTCAAGAAAAGTGCTGTACCGAGAGCCGAGAGACCGTTGCGGATAATTGGATGAGGGTAATGTGTGAATTTGTTTGGTCATAGATCCAAAAATCTAAATACACCGTAATTGTAATAAGATAGCCGTTCGTTTAGAAACTTAGGTGGGGGAGGTTTCAACAACTAAACTTTATTTGCTTGCTTGTTGCTAAAGTCGAGCCTTTTTGCAGTAAAGCTGTAGGTATACCTTCATTAAAAATTGTAAAGCATGAACTCGTAATAGTGGTACTTACTCAGTGGATAAAACTGTCCATCTGGTCCCTCCGGTTTTTTGGGTCGCCGCCTCCAATTTATTTTCGGGACAATGGAAAAAAGTTTCTAGTACAGCCCTGTTTTAATCAGAAGAGGGGAATCTTCAGACTGTACAAAACATCTGCGTCTCTTGGGTTGTCCCGCGACGCAACAGGTCCCACTCCGTGCAACACAGGCACTCCTCTTCGGTGGTCCATAAGCTTCAACAAATGTCCGCAGGTACACCACCAGTTTCCCGAAGTACCAGGCTTGGTTGCGGCTTTGACTACCACTAGCTTCTCTCTCTCTCTCCTTGTCTCGTGCCCCTTTCAACGGAGCTCACGGCTCTTTGTCTGCG